CCTAAATACATTCACACTGGTATTGGAGTAATCATCAAACTTATACAAATTTGGGAAAATTACATGGTCGATGGCGACCACTGTATGTCTGGTATATGTGAATAACTTCCTTGACTGCCTCACCTGTGAGAAAGTCATGTTTGAAGACGATCTAAAGACTTGAAAGTCAATCCAAAGCGCGAAACATGGACAAACCTTACAAAATGACTTGGACCGCTTGCAAAAGCGGTATGAAAAGCGGCTACTGCAGCTCAATTTCAACAACTGCCAACTCATCCGCCTGCGGTCTAGTCGCAGAAAGGTGATACCTTTTGAGTACGACTACTTGATCGGAGATCACCAACTCAATCACGTGAACGAACTACTGGACCTAGGTTTATGTATGACGCCCAACCTCAAAACGTCAAATCACTGTGCTTAAACCACAAAGAAGGCTACGGGCATCTTAGGAGCGAACAGAAGGTCCTTCCTCTATTTTAATGAGCAGCTTTTTGGGCAAGTCTTCGTAACATTTGTTCGGCCGAGGTTAGAGGAATACATCCAGGCGTGGTGACCCTGGATGAAGAAAGGGTACGCAGTACTGGAGAAAGTCTAAGGTAGGGTGACCAAACTAGTCAGCAGTTTAGGAGGTCTACCATATGAAGGTCGCCTAAATAGGCTCAGTCTTCTTCCTCTTTTCCTCCTTCCTCTTTTATCTCCAAGGAGGTATGATCGGGTTGTTCAAACTCGTCAGGGGAGCAGACTGTGCTCTTCAGATGGCTAAATTCTTTGATTTCGCACGAACGACACATCGCCGAGGTCATCCATACAATTTAAAGAAACACCATGCCAAACTAGAAGTGTGGTCCAAGTTCTTCTCCCACTGGGTCATTGAAGACTGGAATAAATTTCATCCATCAGTTGCTCTTGCTGAAAGCGTTAACGCATTTAAAAGAAGACTCGATATTACCTTACACTTTCTGGTCATACATTTGGTAGACAACAACAATTTATATAATGTATAAATGGCTTTGAAGCACATGCAAAATCTGATGGCATACATCTGTAAATAGGGTTTTCAAAGACTCTGCCTATCTCTCTTATATATGCTGAATTAACAGCTATATAAAATGGCAGTATTACTCGCTGTGCCTGTGTGTTCTTACCTCTGTTGACTGAAGTCATAGACTTCACAAGAGGCAATTTCTTCAGAGCCAGCACCCCATCCACCAAAAACGCCAAGCAGCATCTTCTCTTCTTTTTCTTCGCTCACCTTTACTGCTGCGGCGGCGTGGCTGTAGCGAGCAACGGCAAGCGGCGGCTGGCTACGCCAGTGCCCTCCTCTCACCAGAAATTCCTCCACATTATTTGCGGCATTTGCGGCAAAACCTCTGAGAACCCGAGAGAAATGCCAATGCTCATTGAATATGGCTCTGTATCACTTCTGTCCTCCAGCCCCTCCAACCATTTACGATGCTTTCTACCGCAGCGGGGAGTTAAAAAGGCAAAAATGTGAAGATCAGCGCAAGAAAGAGAGATAGGTAGATAAATAGATTTCCGAGTTAGGCGATCGGTAAGGACAGCATAGAAACCTCTGTATTATTAAAATAAAGAGGAAAGTACTCCAAAATAGGCAACACCAAGAGAGCTTCAAAGTCTTCAGTTACTGCATGCCTAGGCAGTATGCGCTATAAATGTGTAATGACGGACGATTGTCTTGTAATTCAGCATACAAATATGGGGGCGCCTGACTATCTATTTTCCCCCCGCCCAACTTTCGTAGGGAGCTGCTGGTTAAAAACACGTAGTTCTTGGTTAAATCAATTGTTTTTTGTATTAAAAGTCATCAAATAATATTAGAGTAAAACCGCTTACAGTTGTTTCAATGAGCTGAATAGAATAAACTCCATCAACATAAACTCTTTTGCACAGGAAATTGATGCCTAGTGATGAAATTTTGACCTAATATTGGTGAAATTTAACGAGAAAAAATGAAATTCGACGTCATGTCGGCGGAAGTTAACGAAATATAGTGAAAGTTGGGCTTCTGCAAATGTTAAGGTAGGCCTGGCAACTGACCGCCCACGACAGTGTATGAGGCGCCCGAGCGCCCTTGCATATCAGTGATTCGCTCCGGCCTCATCCAAAATGGATCATACTGAACGACGGACTTCCTCTCATGATCCTCTTTGGATACTCCAAAGAGGATGAATTTCTCAGCTGACCGTCGGCTGATGGCTAGAGTTCGCCATCTTGGGGCGAGAGGAAATTTGGCCTGAGTGACCTCTGAATGTGAGAAGGCCATTTTGACAAACAACCAGAATAACAAAACAACTAGCGTGACACGCGCTGTGTTTAACAGTACTTTCACGAACACACTGACGCAAAGTAAAGCGACCAATGCATTCGATTGGGTGGTATTTGGCATGGTTACGAAGGTGAATGGTTTCGCGCAGAGCAGGGTTTAGCGCGAGTTTTGATTGGGCAATTCTCAGCTGGCTAGAAGTCAAATGGCTTACCATACCAGCGCTGGGGCCACTACCGTGGCGGCAATAATCGAATTATAGGCAGCAGGCAGCGAAGTGACTAACTAATTGCAAGGTGAAAGCAACCAAAAACGCACAGACATGAAACACAACCAAAGCACCAAGCACAAAACCAAAGTTCACTCATATATGCATTGAACTAAAACGCTCAATTACTTCTTCTAATGCACCGCCCGGTACAACATGGTGTCCGTATAAGAATCATATACAGAAACAATAAAGGAATAATAAAGGCGACAATAAAAACATAAATGCAACGACAACAATAAACCATCAGTGGAAATTAAACAGAGAACAAGAAATGGTGAATAAAACAATAATAAACAACAGTGAAAGCAATAAAGAATAATATTAGTAGATAGAAGTACATCGACCAGTTACAGTGCACACCCGTTCTGGTTTTTTGATGACTTTATGTGTGTATATATAATGTATGTAGTGTGTATGTACAGTGGTCGCCATTGACCACATAATTTTCCTTAATTTGTATAAGTTTGATCATTACTCCCATAGCAGTGTGAATGTATTTAGGAAAACATAGAAATAATAATGAACGGCATAAG